AAATTTTTCACTGTACTTCTCTAGTACTCGAAGTACAGTGAAAAATTTTACTCGACAGACTTGATAGCATTTCTACAAAAATTCAAGCTACGATTATTTATTTAACACTTCCTGTCATCGGCACATTAAGCCAAATAAATATATAAGGTACATACACAATAACGCAATTACATGTGTTACAATGTACTATAAAAACCATAATAAATAAGCGTAAAAAATATAAACGGAAAACCACGCATCTTCCAATTTTAGTTCTCTCTCAATATGACATTACTCTTATATTTTGATTTCTACGATATACAAAGAATAAATGATATGTTAACTAAAAATAAATGAAAAAGAATCGATAAAGTGCAAAAGATATATAGATTAGATACTGAAGTGGCTAAAAAAGAATTTGTTATATTATATCTGTTGTATCATACTCAGACAGTTTCTAATAATCTTTATCCACGCATCATAGTCTGCGAATTTCAGAAGGAAAGCTTCAGTCTCAATAGAAAAAACAAATTGAAGGTTAAATAAACGATAATGCCGGAGCAACAATTAATCAGTGTGAACTCATGTCAATGCAAAGAGACTTACGAAATGAACATCTTCAGATGTGACACGCATTTTTTTCGATATAAATTTATAGAGCGTTAAAAAAACAGGGATACAAACAAGGTAATTTATTCTAATTTTAACAGTGATTTTAAAAATAAGATTAAAATAAATCATGCTATATATATTTCTAATTGCTGACAGAATATTTAAAAGAGTAAAAACACTTTGTTAAAATTCAGTGGTGAAAATCATTTTCTTCGCAATAAATGCCAAAAATTTACATATCGATCGTATTAAAACGATGGCCGCTATCTTGTGGCAGCTTGTTGCGGCATGCGTGTATTGATGATGTCACTATTTGAGCACTTATTACGTAAGAAAAACATTACTACCATTGCTTATCATATCTGAATAGGTTCCTTATGAATTAAAAGAAGCCTAGTATATGTAGACCCACCGAATGCTGCGTTAAGCGAATTCTTTTCTCCCTCACTTTACTGCGCGAGAAAGATTACATTATCGTGAGACAGAGTTACAAAGGTGTTACAATTAGAGTTTAAAATAGAGAAACGTAGGCAAATTTTGCGTAAAACTAAATAAGTGCATGCGATTTTCTTATTCCGAATAATAATTTCCAAATATGTACAAAGATTTGAAGTCTGGTCAAAAATTCAAGGTTTGAAATTAAGCAGCTGTCCATAATTTGATTGTGTAGTTATACAAATACGGTAATGTTAGTGCATAATTCTGCAATGTGAATGTTATCATACTATGCATGAGTCAGACGATTACTTTATTCAATGATAAGCTGATAAATTTCTCAATAAACTCCTATATCTTCGTGTCAACGTTTTACATTAATATGCGATGTATTTTGTATCTTGCGGTTTTTCTAAAGTTTACGCCAAATTGTGTCCAATTCACACATAAAATTCAATCGCACAATCTTACCAAATTTTCTACACAGAAAATTTTATCAGAAATCAATTCTCAAAGTCGTATTTGTAAATAGACTTTTGTATCAAGTTCGGTGCGGACGATTTGAGCAGAATTTTATTGGAGTGAATTTTGCGCAGCTTGCAGAACATGGCGATATTGACCAACTGCATCTATTTGGATATACTTTTGATATTCTCATCGCTTTTGGCAACGCTTTACCTGTGGATGAAGTGGAAGCATTCCTACTGGCAGAGATGCGGGATACGTTCGTTGCCCACACATTGATTCTTCGGTCACTTCAAAGACGCGATCCTGATGCGCAAACCGCCAGGAGTGGTTCTCGGTGAACTGTATCAGCAAGGAAACGACAAGGATGATGTCCTGGGAATTTACATTCTATTCAAGCCATTTTTGCTCGTGAGAAATTCGGAACTGATAAAGCAAATAATGATCAAAGATTTTAATGTGTTTTCGAATCATCATTTCGTTGCAAGAAGCAACGCTGACAAAATGAGCGGCTACAATCTTTTCGGCATAGACAATCCTGAATGGAAATATTTAAGGTAAAAATATATAAGACATGTCTCATAATTTGGATTCACAAGAGTAATAACACAGTACAACAAAAATAGACAAACTTTTTGGCCTAAGAACAAAACCAACGGTTTCCGACATATTTTTGATCGCTGAAAATGATCCCGCTTTCAGAATTTGCCAATTACGTCACATTTCCATGAAAAATGAGATGAGAATTTCCTTAAAAAAAATTATCTTTGACGCAACAACGTGTTGAATATGATCAAAATCGACGTTTTTAACCTATTTTATCCTATTTTTCATGGAAATGTGACGTGATAGGCAAATTCTGAATGCAGGATCATTTTCAGCGACCAAAAATACGTCGGAAATCATTCGTTTCGTTCGTAGGCCACAATTGTGTTGAACTGTGTAATTGATATTTTAAAGTCGTAAATTATTCTTTAAAATAATATTTGCAAACCGACTATTGCAAAATATTATTAAAAAATCATTATAAGAGCTATATCAAAGAGATATTATCAAAAAAGATAAAGAGAATACATTATTTAATACTTATGCTTTATCTTCTTATTTTATATATTGTAGTTCATTGATTTATAGTATTTACTTTGTTTCTATCAGTATTATTTGATTCCTTATCTCTTCAAGATCAAGACTGTTAGCGCTTGCTGCTTTCGATGTGATTGGAAAGAGAATTAAGGAACGATTTTATCCGTTTTTTGTTTAGAACAAAAATGTCACCGGTGTTCACGAGCGGCAAATTGAAAAGTCTATTCTTGTTGATGGTGGAATCCGGAGAACTGATGGGTGCGCATCTACGTAGTCAATTCTCCAATGATTCCAAGTTCAAATCAATTTCCATCAATATATAATATTATTAGTAAAATTAGCCGTAAATTTGTCAAGTAGTGTAAAATGTGTGTCAAATTTAAAAAGTATGAAATGTAATTATATGACTTATATGTACAGTTCATTTAATAAAAAGACGGTAAAAAGAAACGTACCTCAGATCAGCAATTGTTGTCATATTGTGAGCAATTGAAAAATATGAAATCACAGAATTAATAACTACTTAAGGATTTATAATGTGTGTATCCGTTGACGTTTTAGAAAGGGACAGAAGAATGTAAAATTAGATGAAAAACATTAAGGAAAATAAGGAGAGGAGGAAGGGGGTATTAAGAAAGGATATTTTATAGAGTGGGGAACTTCCTAAGGTAGATATGTGTTCGGTAAAAGTTTGGTGTCGCTCTGTTTATTTAGCTCTGTGTTTTAAATTTTGACACAAGGTCGGTGTTCTATTGCGTACGGACAAATAAGTTCAGATTTCACACATTCTGTTGTTGAAAGACTTTAGGTAATAATTTATACTACTTGACAAATTTACGGCTAATTTTACTGATAATTTTATACATCGACTGTCTACTTGACATTGTTAAATCCGCTGCTAACTATATTCACAGCACGATTGTCAATCCGAATACGGCCACTTAAGGGGGGACGCCTACCTAGAGAAGTGAAAAATACATGCTTTTTCGGGAATTTTTTTTAAATACTGAATAAATTTTATTAATAAAAGTAGATTATTATAAAATATACATTTTTGACATACTATAATAATTTTTTATGACCAAATTATAAAAAGTAATTGAGATATTCATCGATGCCGTGGACGTCCTTTTTTAGAGGCGTTGTGCGGTGACCACTCTATCTCAAAGCAGGATTATCTGAAATCAAAAAATCGAAAATTTTTAGTTTATATATTAAATTATCTAGGTCTCTACGGGCCGCATTTTTGAAAAATTGATTTGAAACAAAATGGCGGCGGTGTAAAGTTAAGGTATCGATTTTGACCAAAAAATTGCTCTTTTTTTGTGTATAAAAAAAAAGTAAGCAAAAAAAAGGAAAAAGCCCTCGTAGTGACCTAGATTTTGATCTCTTAAATAAGCCTGTAAAATTTGAAATAAATCGATCGACTGATTTTTGAGTTATGTTGGTCACCGACTTTGAAAAAGTGATTTTGAGAAAACGCGTTTTAAAGTTTTGTGTCATGTTTACACCTAAATA